GAATAGATAATAACTATAGAGCTGTACAGGGGACAAGTTGGGTTTGGGTTTTTGTTTGTTTTTTAAGAACACTTATGCAAACGTTACCTGAAGAGTTCTGAGTATGTTCTAAAGCTTGTCTGTCTCTGTCACTAACTCAGTCCAATAAAAGATATTGTCACGCTTACCTTGTCTTTGAGAAGTGACACGTGTCATGTGGTAGCCAAAATTAGTGTTGAGCGATAATCAGATTAGAAATATGTTGCAATTATTGCTTTTATAAAGCACTGGCAGTGCAGCCTCATTTTAAAACTTAATTCTTAAACATTCTCTAAATCCGAGAACCTTTCTTCAGTATTACCATTAGTTACAGAGGAAGAAACTAACACAAAGAGGCACTGGAAAGAGACTGTTACTGTTTGAGATAAACAATCTCAAAGTATATTGTCATACACGAAGCACACCATTATCTGGTAAAACTTTGGAGTGTTTAAGTACAAAAAGAGATAGTAGGAAAAGGGTAAAAAATTCTGTGTCAGAAGAAAACTAAAATAAACCTTACTGTACATAAGGATTCCAACTCTAAAGCTGAAGTCAATCTAAATCCACATGGATAAGCATCACAATACAGTGATATATCTAACATTAATAAATGACAAGTTTGGTATTTTGCTACTTGCCATTAGGAGAACACAACAATATTTGTCCAACATTGCCCTCTAGTGCTTAGATATCATCTGTAGATGAACACTCACAATTAAAGAAATCTGTATCAGTGTCAATACAATTTACTTGAATGAAAACAGAGAAGTGGAGGGAAGAGAAGTGCTTGTTGGAGATATTTTTCCCCTTGGAAAAATCTTGTGCTGTGTTTTGTATCGTAATATATAATACTGCACCAGTTCTCTCTCTCTCAGATTTTATAAGTCCTCAGAAAACTTTATGACATTACATAAATTACTCATTATTCCAGGTCTGCTCCAGATAAGATATTGACTGCTACATTAAATACAGTTTGATTGTAAAACTGATGGCAAATAATGTATGTATCCAGTTTTTTTTCCTATAACCTACCCTTTAAAAAAAAAAAAAAAGATTTAGGCAAGGAACAGAACAGGATGAAATGGTATTTTCATTTGTTTTATGGGAGAACGATTATGTAGATTCATAAACCGCTATATTTCTAGAACACTTACTGAGGAATTAAGTTAATGACTTCAGTTATTTTTATTTGATTTGCATGCCTGCTTTCTTCAGGAATGACAATAAAGAAGAAACCCAAAAGGATTTCCAACCAACAATGATTTTTTATGCAGTGTGGCCAGTAATTTTAGTTGATAGTTCATTTATTGTGTAGTTATGAGCAACTAAGATGTTACGTCACATATAATCATTGCATGTGTAATCCTACAACTTAACTCTGTTTAACAAGTATAAAACTGATCAGTAGTTAGAAGGGATAATTATGTATTAGGATTAACATTTTAGCTTAGCTATTTTAGGCCCAGTAAGAAATGTTGATATAAGTGAGTGACCAAAGAATAACCCAATGAGTGACCAAAGAATAACCCAATTATGGGAGAAGTTGTAACAATGGGCAATATTACAAAAAATTAACAGTACAAGTAATTTGTTGCTTACAAGATACCTGGGAATTACATTTTTCTAACATATGCCCTAACCGCAAAGTATACTATGTGCAGAAATGCTAATGTGGTATAGTCTGAATGATATTATAAAAGAGGGTGCCCAGAGTGGGAAAATTGAGCTCCATCTGGGAAATTTCAGTAGGAATCATCCCTCTACCGATGATCAATCCATAAAACAGACCCATCTGATCCTAATACTCTCTATAACTTGTGCATAGGTCTGTACAAAATTTCTATATGCTTAGGTAATCATAACTTTAATTATAACTTTTATTAAAGTAGTCAAAGGGACAGACCTTGTACTTGTGAATACATGTGGTCACTACCCTTGCTCTTTGTGTGTTCCTAGAGCCTCTAAATCTAAAGAAAGCAGCAAAGATGGCATTTACTGTGAACTCAGAGTGGTATAATACATTACAAAACTCACTTTAAATAAAATAAAAGGCTACATATGCTCATAACTATATCTCTAGTAGCACAAACATTATTAGAATTAGTGTGTGGATAGTACAAAAGTACTTTTTAGAAGCATCTATACAAGTAAATATACAGTGTACCCAACTATATGTACAAGCAGGTTTACCCTGATTAAATAGTCCTATTAACAAGTAATCAAATCAAAAGGTTGTCAAGAGTTATGAACAAATTGAAGACGAATTATGTGAAACAGAATGTTAAACCAGGTTTTCAGTTTAAAGAGCTCCTAAAGATATAGAATCATTATCTGAAATATAATTAAACACAAAAACATGGAGGCAATTAGGCTCATAACTTCTTTTTTATGTTCTAGGTAGAATCTTATTAAAGCAGCTATCATTGCAAACTATCGGTTTGAGTTTTATTATATTATAAAATGCGATTTCCAGTGGCTGGAAAGATATTTTAATTATCCTATGCCATGTCATATGGTTCTGTATAATACTTTACTCACCACTTCAATGGACATAGTGAAACTATGATAATTATAATGATCAAAAAGAAAATAATAAGTAAAGAAATACAGCATTACAACAACACCACAAATAATACAAGTCCTGTGGAACCCTGAGACCAGCAGCTGAAATTTATATTAAAAGTCACAGCTTCTCAGCATGTAATAACTTCATGTTTCTTGGGTTAAAAAGTTTGGTGAATGTTAATATGTGAGAACAAAATAAATTTAAATATTGATAAATTTGCCTTTGGTATTATTACATGGAAGAAAGCTATACAAATCATTAGCTTCTGAGCAGGCATAGCAATTACTTTTTATATCTTGCATAGATAATAAATCTCTTTCTGCCTAAAGGGCACAAGAGCAGTGCAAATCCATGAAGAGAAGATAAAGACAAAATTTGTGCAAGTCTACAGAGCTGACTTTAGGCTTTTGGATAGGCAAACCCAAACAACAAGAAAACAATTACATTAAAACATATATATGTTACATGAAACCGGGAAGAGAGGTAAATCTCTTATCAAGCTACAGAAAGCATCAAGAGGTGAGGCAGCCTTGTTCATTGTGGGCATGTGCCTGGGGAACTCTTAGGCCAGTTTGAACAAGGAGCAACAGTCTCAAGTTATTGTGGGGAGAGGTCTAGGTTGGATATTTAAAACATAATTATTTCACTAGGAGAGTGGTGAAGTACCGGAATGGGTTACCTAGGGAGGTAGTGGAATCTCCATCTCTAGAGGTTTTAAAGATCTGTCTAGACTACAAAGTTCTATTGGAAAAAAATAAGTAAATTGTGAATCGCAATTTGCGTATCTTTTTCCGCTTTTCTTCCGAAAGAGGCTTTTCCGACAATTGGCCTGTCTACACTGGGCCAAATGTCAGGAAAAAAACCTCTTTCGGAACATCCCTTCTTCCTCATAGAACGAGGTTTACAAGGATGCCAAAAAAAAAGGTGTCTGCTTTTCCAAAAAGATTTTCAGAAAAGCAGATGCGTTCCTTGGACGTGGCAGAGCTTTTCCGGGATACCTCCTGTATCCCAGAAAAACTCTGCAGTCTAGACGTACTAAGTCCTGGCTTCAGAAAGCCCTGGCTTGGGTGATTTAGTTGGGGTTGGATCTGCTTTGGGCCGGGGGCTAAACTCAATGACCTCCTGAGGTGTCTCCCAGCCCTAGAATTCTATGATTCTAAAACATATGGAAAAGATATTTCAAGAAAGGGCAAAGCAGGGTCACATCAATGAAAAAAAATCAGCCTCTTTTTTTCCCCCCTTTTTTTGTAATTTGGAAAGTGGAAGAAAAACAAATATCCCAGAACTCTGCATACTCTTGCCTGTAAGAGTTTGTGATTGAGAGTGTGGTGACTCTTATACAATCTTTGTTAATACATTACATGTACTGTTTTATATATTATTATTAATTTGTACTGCAGTAGTGCATGGGGCCTCAAACAGACATTATGTTACACACTCAACACAATAAGAGGGCACTCTGTACCCCAAAGAGTTCACAAACTAGGTAATATCAGCTTCTGAAGTGGTGTCTAAGATCCGCTGATAAATTTTTTTAAACAGTCCTTCCCTTTCTCTTCATCTATGTATGGCTCCTTCCCCAACATTCCTCCCACTCTCCTCTTTGTACCTTAGATATGGGAGAAGAGTAAATCTCTTATCAAGCTAGGGAAGCATCAAGAGTTGAGGCAGCCTTGTTCATTGTGGGCATGTGCATGGGGAACTCTCAGGCCAGTTTGAAACCAGGGCAGAGCTAGCACAGACAGAAGAAGTAAAATAGGCAGCATCATAGCAACCTAAAGATGTACCCTGATAATTCTGACAATCATTCCCTGAGCTAGGATGCTTAACCTATGAGCTCACAGTATGCTTATTCAGTCTAGGATATGGTTATTGCCCACCAAACATGAATAACAATCAGAAATATAAATAACCATGCAGCCATAATACATAAGTGTTCAGAGATTTGTACATCAGTAACTGTAAAGCATCTATGCATTCTGGATGGCAAAGAATTTCATTTCACTGTCACAATAATTCATAGATTCACTGTCACAATAATTCTAGTCCAACCTCCTATAAAGCACAACTCAAAGAACTTCCCCAGAATAATTCTTAGAGCATATATTTAGAAACTATCCATTCCTGATTTAAAAATAGTGAATGATTGAGAATCCACCATAACTCTTGGTACGCTGTTCCAATGTTTAATTACATACTTTAAAAGTTATGCTTTATGTCTAGTATCAATTGTCTAGTAAGGAAAGTGATGAGGGCTAAATGAACCTTTGATATTATGATTTAAAATTTATCAATTTAATACTATTTAACTGTTTGCTTTACATAAAAAAATACTGAAATATTAAACATTGCAGAATTTAAAAACATTAGGTCACAAAATAATGATACAAGAATAATTTGGAAAGATACATACCATATTTTCTACTCTGAGTTCAAATGGCATTGGATTGTACACCATCAGCTGAACTTCACATACATCTCCTTGGACCCACTGGAAGTCTGTAAAAAATTATTACAGATTTAAAATAGGAAGTTACTACCAGTTTTGTACCATTATAGCAATGCTATCCGCTGCTGACATATTGCTACATAAATGCTACTACTCAGAACCTAATCCTATAGTCATATGCAAACTCCCAAATAACCTCCATAACCCTCCAGACTACTGCACACCTTTTCAGGAATCTGATTTGTCTCGTCTCTCCTCAATTTTCACCCCACTTAAAAACTACTTGCTAACAAAACCAAACATAAAAATACAAAAGTACCACTACATATGGTTATGATAAATTGCTTACTTTCTCATTTTTATCATGCAATTCTATAATAAATCAACAGAATATAAATAATGTACTTATATTTCAGTGTTTAAAATATAGGCCAGTATTACCAAATTACTGTCTCTATGAAATTTTAGTTTGCACAGACTTCAGTAGTGAATTTTAGGTAGCCTATCATAAAACTAGGCAAATATCTATATGAGTGGATATACCCTCTGGAAGCCCTTTATGTACCCCATATATTTTAAACACTGATTCTCAGCCAGGAAGTGGAAAGGCTAAAGATGGGTTAGTTATATTAATGAGCTGGGGGCTGTACAAAGAGAAAATAAATGGCAGTTCTTCCCCAAAAGAAATTAGCTCTATGAGGTACTCTGGCACCAATCCAGAAAAACACTGAAGTACCTGCTTAACTTTGTTTAAACACTTGAAAAGTTCCATAGACTTCTGTGGTGACTACTTACATGCTTGAGTCCTTTTTTAGATCTGGCCCAGAATGCTTAGCACTTTATGAAATCAAGTACAAGAGGATGGCAAGGAGTGAACACAATACAGGGGAAGAGAGGCAGTAATAAAAATATAAAATTTCACATATATGAGCTGAGTATGATTGGGCAATTTCATTTCTTAAAAAATAAGAACCAGTGATACTGATAAATCAATCACTAACAGGAGACTATAGTAACCATTAGCATTCCCTTTTAATTGTCTGCAGGAAATAGTAGATAACTTAGGAGCTCTGAGTGTGGCAAGGAAGACTCAGAGCTGTAGCATATAGGGATAGCCTGCTTGCTTACCTATGGGTGGATATATTCTCTTATAGATTTCTGAATTCCTTATGGTTTTGACTACTTGTTTTATTGTAGTAGATTTATAGGTTTACAGTCAAGTAGTTTGGCATTACAACAAGTAACCTACAGGCTATATCCTGTAGGATGAACTAAGGCAAAGTCAGCACAACTTTGTCTGAATAAATAATAAGATAAAATGCTCTTTAACGGCATAGGGGGCTTTCAAGTGTACCTTCAACTATACGCATACATAAGTCATCAATACATACAAACATGCCATATGTATCCAACCTATGAAGTATACCTTAATATTTTTGTGGGGCAAGGTGGTAAGTTTGGACATATGAACCAAGCACCCAAGACATAAAAAGGGGTGCCAAGGGCTTGTTTTATTTTGTTTTCCCTGAGCGATCCCGAACCAGCCCAAGGGAAGTCAGTGTTCACCTGCTAGCTTCCAACCCCACTCCCAGACTCCTCTCTAGGCTGTGGGGCTCCCCAGAGCCTAGGCTCTCTGTCCTGCTTCTGGCCCCTATGCTACTGGCCACCACTGGCCCTGCTCCTCCTGGAGCTCCCCAGGGCTGGGGCCAGCCCTGCTCCCACCGGGGGTACTGGACTAGGGCTGGGCTCCCTAGCCACTTCAGGGGCTCACCAGGCTGGGGTTCCCCAGGATGGGCTCCCCGGCTGCCCCACCACCACCAGGGGTTCCTGGCCAAGGCCATCCCCGCTGCTGTTGGGGTGGGAAATGAGGGGGAAAGGTGTCAGGCTGGGACTCCCCAGCTGGCTTCTACTCTGGGCCTCTTGGGTCCAGCAATATCCATGGTCCATACTGATGGACCAGAGAGGTACAACCTGCAGTAGGAGGGTAACCTTGTTTTCTAAGCTACCTTCTGTCTCTAAGGGTATGTCTAAACTACATCCCTTTTTTGATAAAGCGATGTAAATGAGACATATTGAAATTGCAAATGAAGTGGAGATTTGAATCTCCCGCACTTCATTTGCATAATCGCATCATGCGGTTTCTAAAGTTAAACCGTGGTCTGGACGCAGTTCTTTCGAAAATGGCAGGCTTTTTCGAAAGCTCCTGTAAACCTGCAATTTTAGCAAGAACTGCGTCTAGACCACAGTTTTACTTTCAAAATGACGCTTTCTCGAAAAAGTGCCATGATGCGATTATGCAAATGAAGCATGGGAAATTCAAATCCCCATTTCATTTGCAATTTCGATATGTCTAATTTACATCCCTTTATTGAAAAGGGGATGTAATTTAGACGTACCCTAAAGGTTACCTTTCTAACAATCTGTTATTTTTAATTTTAAGTCAGATAAAGCAAACAAAACTTAGCTTTAACAGCTCTTAGCTTTAGCTTCTTCTAGGCTCAGCATCTTCCATTCAAGGACTGAGGAACCTAGCCTGAACTCTCTTGGCATACCAGAGGCAAGGCTGGTCTTCTGTCTCTTACAAACAGGTTATAAAGGAATGGTGTGAGTATATTAAAGATTTTCATCGTTAGAATATTACCACTGCATTAGTAATGTAATAGTAAAATAAACCAGGGCTACAATTTGTTTATTATCCATCTATATCACTACAAAGTTCTCAGTGAGAACTTTGTCATACCCCAGAGGGCCCTTTGCATATTCTATGTAGTCTGATTCTGGGAAAATAACTTGTTATCTTGTGATCAGATGAATTAGTGATCTTATAATCCATAGTATTTAAGTTATTCTAAATCAGGCAACAGAGAGAAGTACACCATACCAAATATACACATCTACATGGAGACATACCAACATTACAAACTCAATTCATTCAAATTTTACAAATATAAACAAACATGGGGATAAAAGGAAATGGTCAAGGAATACTAAGGTGTCTCTATGCTACTACTTGGAATGCAGTGATTGTGGATGCAAATTTTAAAGTATTTCAGTGCTCTGTGTTTCAAGTTTTATTTTCATAATGAAACAATACAATGTATTATAATCTTGATTACACTATATCAGTGGTCCCCAACCTTTAGAGGCTCCTGGGCACCTGGGAGGTGGGGCCACTCACACGCCGGGCGCCCGGGGGTGGGGCCGCACGTCCGGGGGCACGCCAAGAGACTGGGATGCCCTTGCACCCGGCGCTGGCGTGTGCCCTAGGGCCGGGGCCGCCAGAGCACCTTGTGCCGTGGGCCCGGGGCC